AGCCTCAATGCCATTGTCTCCTTTTTATCTTTTTTTTTTTTTTTTTTTTAAGAGAGTTGTTTTAGGTGCATTGGATACCACATGTATTATGTCTTTTATATACTAACTTTATACAATCCAAATTAAATGTATTATCACTAGTTGTTTTTTCATAAAAGAGCAAATTTTAAAACAATAAAATAAAGCCCACAAAAATGATGTTCAATGAAACAAATAGTTATACATTGTCAACATATATGTAATTAAAAAAAACTTGGCAAGTCTTAAACTCTATTGCCAATTTTAGGATATACCCACCGGTCATCATTTCCAAGCTTATCCTCTTCACCACAATCTTCCTAAACACTATTGCTAGGCTTCATCGTGTTGTGCTGCCAATGAATTCGTTGCCATTTCTCTTCCTGAGTCTTCCCTTAGCAATTATTTTTGTCATTCCCAAACTAACTTCACTAACTATGCCATTAGCCAATTCATCTTTGATAGTTTTTTGGAGTAAATCTTTGGTGATGTGAGTGATAGATTTTTTGTATTGGGAGATATTACTATGTTTCTCACTCTACTTGCGGTTGCCTAATCTAACTGTTGCCAGCATATTCAAATATTAATGTTAGCTCTGGCCATAATTCTGGCTTCCTCATTTGTATTTTTCTCAAATACCTCCCTTACATTTTTTGACCTAATATCATTGTTAATTATTCCTAAGGTTGTCAGCAATTGGGTTCCTACTACCCACGGTGACCTCATCAATATTATGACTTATGTGCCTCATTCCATTTCTCACATTTCTCATGATGTGGAATTTTTCTACACTTCAAGAGATGTTCTATGTAGGAAATTCATATATATATATATATATATATAAGCCCCCTCAATGCAAATACATAATTAGAAACTAGGGAAATAGGTAAGAACTAAAAAGGAAGAAACAACAAAGAATAGAAATTTACTAAAGAAATCAAAGAAATAAAATAAAATGGTAATAATATAAAAGAAATTGTGTTCGGTCTCTCGCATCCCTGTCTCCAGCGTCCTGAGTCTAAGTGTTCAGCGGCTTCTGCGAATCTACGGTCGCGAAACAGATGCTTCACGTCAGTAAATTTTGTGGACTTAATTTTCGTATCTTGCCAAAAATTCTATACATCCTTCATTGGACTAATTTTGATAAAAATAAACTCTTTAACATTAAATTATAGCTAAACTCTTTGTCTAACATCATAGCATTCTTGTTTTATATCTTTCACAATCTTTAATTTGTTTTTGATCTGTCTAATATTCTTAGTAGCATCAGTCACAAAATCTGCACCAGCAACTTTCCTCCCTGGCATTTCACCCCAAAACAATGTCCTTCATGTCCTTGTTAAAGAGCTTCTTATGGAGTCATATTATTTGTCTGAAAATTGTTGTTACATGCAAATTCTATTAATGATATATGCGAGTCATGTATTCCACCAAAATTAATAATAGATAAACGGAGTAAATCCTCTAGGTTTTGAATTGTCTTTTTTGATTGGCCATCTTCATGTAGGTGAATTTTAGTCCTCGTGTAATCGTACAATCTCTTTCACATACAATTTTACCAATTTCTCAACATGATCTATCTCTCTAATTGGCAAGAAATGAGTAAATTTAGTCATTATATGTATAATGACTCATATACCATAACATCTTTTTTTGATTTAAAGAATTCACTCACAAATCCTTATCACTTTGCATTAACTGATCACCCAATCTTCAATATTTTTTTTAACTTGTTGACATGTATGTCATTTAGCCACAATGCTACAATAGTTATTTTCAATCATGGCCACCAAAATATCTCAAGTTTCTAATATATTTTGCTGTTTTCTGCGTATATTATATAGCTTGAAAAAGGTACTTTTCCTAGAATTTCCTTAGATTATCAAAATCTAGGGATTATCTTTATTTTTGTTTCATAATTTTTATTTCTATTTTATTTTGCTTATGTTTTGATTTAAAGCAAAAACATTTTCGAATGGTTAAAATGAAGTAATGTTTTCTAGAAATTATTTAAATTATTTTTTAAAATATGTTAATTTATTTTTAAAAATAAATATTAAATCATTTAAAAGGCACACTAAATAAGCAATTTTTTTTCCCAATTTTATAAAACAACATATTGTCTTCCGTAAAGCGCTTGTTTTTGCAAACAGTAAACCAAATTGAGGAAACAAAGCAAATCTAACATCTCTCCTTAAGAATTTCCCGCATTCATTTTGTGGAGTTAAAAATTACTCGTGCTTTCAGTTCTCACCAAAGAAGATGATGCATCTCACCAGCGGAAAAACTCCTTTCTAGAATTGTCCTATTTGCATTTTTGGCCTAAAGGTTACCCATTTCTTGTTTACATTATCAGATTATGATGAAGGATCAATTTGCAAACTATGTGGTTCAGAAGATTCTTGACGTATGTACAGATAAACAAAAGGGGCTTCTACTTAGTTGCGTACGGTCTCACTCACAAGCTTTGAAGAAATATACATATGGAAAACACATTGTTGCTCGGGTCGAGCAGTTGTCCGGTGATGGAGAAGGTGAGTATAAAATTATCTTTTGTTGTTTCATATCTGATAGTTATCTGATGTGTAATTTGTTTTAATAACTAGTACAATTTAATGCATAAAATAGAATCATCGCACATCTCCTTGTTAATCTTCTCTTTTCCATCGTGATTATGTTACATTTAAGTGTATGTAATAATGAATTCATGAGTAAATTTTAAGATTAAACATTATTTGATGGATTTATGTATATTAGTGTGTGTGCGTTTGTGTAATAATAATCATATATATATATATATGCATGTGCGTTTGTGTATATGTATCAATGATTTTAAAGTTTGTATGTATTTATTCTTAAAGAATGGAAGAATGCTTGGGTACATTTATACATGCATGCATTATAAATTTTATCCTCCAGTTTTTGCTTGAAGTTTATTTATTGCCTAAAACGGTCTTGGAATGAAAATGCAAAACTTTAACTTGTAGTGCAAAGCAACTTTGGATATATTTTTCAATAAAGCCTTCTAAATTTTAAATTTGTGGACCTGGTACAGAAAAATGAGTATTATTTCGTAGTCATAATGATTTTAAAAAGAGCAGAATCTCATCATGTTTAATGATTGATTATACTCTCCAAGTTTAACTAGGACTAAAGAACCAAAATAAAGCCATAAATAATCGCTGCACTTTTTTAATATGGGCTGAAATAGTTAGGAGTGACTATTTTAGGTCTCATTAAAAAAGTCTTGGGACTAAATTGACACTTTTATATATTTGGAAACTAAAATGACCTCTGTAAAGAGTTAGGAGATCATTTGGACATTTTTCTCGATATATAGTATACTTTGTATAGACTAAGAATATTGTACCCGGCGTCCATTTTAATTTTGTTCCAGCGGTGATGATGTTTACTGATCCATACTGGTTATATATTTCAAGAGAAACTGGTTCTCTGATCAAATTTACCCCACTTTTTTGCGCAGAAAGCCCTTCTTCTGATTTCTGAGAAAGCTCGGGGAGGTGTACATTAAGATAATTGTACCTGTAGGAAGAATCACTGGGGGGCCCACTTGAGGGTCTGAGGCCACTTGACTCCAGTAAAGCGTTCGTTTAGATGACACTCCACCGGGTACCCTCCCTGAGGATGATCACTCAGGTATATATTCGACTTGTGTTGTAAAGGCAGTAAATATCTTTTATATTTATATTGTATATTTCTGTATGGTATGGTATATATATTGTACCTGATAAAATTAAGGTCAGCTTCCCTAGTGTTAATGGTTTCTCCCTATTGTTTGCTTAGCCTGATGCGTTGGCATGGATGGATTGAGGGCAATACTAGGTTTATTAACTCTCTCTCTCTCTCTCTCTTCATAAATTTTTTAATGAACACATATAGTATATATTATTATTATTGTTATTAGTATTATCATCATCATCATCATCATCATCATCATCATCATCATCTATGGGTTGGCAATATTAGTATTTTTATATATAGATGCACATAGGTTATATGCTTTCGACCTATGGATTTATTATAGGATTGTCAAAATTTAGTACTCTCTTGCTTAGCATCAAGATTGTATGAATTTATGGATCGTGTTGTATATTTTAATGCCTTGAAATGTGGAATTTTGAATATTTATGTTTAGATGATTTCTTTCTGAGATTGTTTAATGCACGCATGGCCGAGGAATTGTGGATCTTCTGAATGTCATAAATTGTAAAATTTACTTTATTTGTTAAGTGTTTTTTGTCATATTATTATAATCATGTCTCATCTTGGGCGGGCGCATTTTGGTCATTTCCAAAAATTTGAACCAAATTGAATCCATTTAGCTAATTTTGTTTGGTTTTGAAGTAGTCAACAATTCAATTTTAGAACATTATATTATTCGGCCTTTGATTTTTTTGATGCATTTTGTTTTTTATTAAAGCAAATTTATTTTAGATCTGCTTTTGCTAGGTTTTTTGGATTCATGTTTTAGTTTTGGTTTCATTCAGTTTGATTAATTTATTAATTGATAAGTCTATGTAAATGTCTCGCACAACCCAAATCTCATCTCTAACGTGTAGTAATATTTTATCAACTGTATATTTGAAAACTGCAGTAACTTTCATTTGAATCTGAGTTAAGAAGAGTAATGACAAAATGTCAGGTAAAATTTTCCTAAAATTAAAAAAATGATTGCAACAACATATTTTTGCAGAACATAGTTTTTTGTGAATTTCAAATTCATTTGTGTATGAGCTTATGGAGATAAATGTTTCGTTAAATTTAGAGAAATATGGGAATGTGTATTCACATAAAATGAAAGATAAATTATGATGCTCATAAGGTGAAATAATAAATGCATTGCAATTAAGATGAGATTGACCAAACCCGGTAAGGGAAAAAAAAAGGGGAAATGTGTTTTAACTAATTTTTATGAGAAAATGACTTCAAAGTTTGTTTTAGATTGATATCCTCGGTTGTATGGGCAAAGAACTAGAAGGAACGCTGGAGCAATTACACAAGTAAACTTTCAATTAAAAAATTGACTCCTCATATTAATAGTACCATTCTCATGTATAACACTAATTGTTATGCGACGAAATTCCAATGTAAAATTTTGTATTTACATGGACAGTTATTCAGTTTTAGTGATGTTATGCGTTTGGTTATTTGGGTTTTAATCATCATTTGCACTCTAAACAATAAACCATGTCATAATGCCTGCTTCAAATGATTATCTAATCTTGCTTCAGATTGATAAAATTTTGTTTGAATATTGTTCTTAATTTTCAGGGATATTTCAAAAAAGGTAAAAAAATGTCCTATCAAAACTAAAATATTCTAAGGCCGGCCCGAATAAAATTCAATCAAGATGGGAGAGGTGATTTACCTTTCATGCGAAAAGTTGGCTGGAGAAGTGTTAAACTTGCTCACTACTTATGTGAGTGATACAACACTTCTATCTAAATCTTGCAAGCTCACTTTGGTGGCTAAATTCTTGTATGGTCATCTAAAAATGGAAGTCATCAGGAAAGCTTTTGAGAACATAAAACTCTTGGGAGAATGAAAGATTGGTTTGGTCCTCCGCTCATGGGGATTCGGCTTGTGTCCGCAACACCATGTACCTCATTGACCACCAAACTCTCAACCTCATTAGAATGGATCAAAGTTAGGGCCACAGTTTGCACATAATTGTTAATTCAGTCGTACATTAATTTGTATTCTTCATTATTTTCGTCTTCTGGAGAAATCTTAAACTGGGGCTTTCTAAGATTTATTGTCATTGCTTCTTTCTTTCCTCCTTCCTCAGAACTGTCTTCCCGATCAATGTTGATAACGGAATTATTTCGTTCAACGATCCTATCGTTTCTTCTTTGACCTTGTCCCCAGCCTCGACCTAAGGTGCGAGCTCTGGAGAAACCTTCAACATCTCGTCGCAAGGGAGTGGTGAGGGGCTGCTAAACTAGAATCTGTTGTTCATTGTTTTTTACCTATTCCAACTCCTTTGTTTTGTCTGGTGCGGCGTTTTTGGAGAAAACTGTCTTTTTTGAAGGTAAGTAGTAAATAAGATCTTCATGGATTCCTACTTCATGCACAACAAATGTCTATAAATTTTCTATAGCGCATCGTTATTGAACACCTTCATAGTACTTTCTTCACTGGTGTAGAGACGACGACACCATCCAGTACTCGTAGATCCAGGGTCGACCTAGTAGGGCATTGAAATATGTCTCAAAATCAACTATGTGGAATTTTCCGTTTGTCTTTACCAGATCACTGATCACCATAGGTAGTGTTATTGATCAAACAACTCTTTCTCCCTTCTGATTGAAGCCTCTTATCATCATCCTGTCCATTTTGAGGTCTCGGGCATTGATTTCCAAGTAGGCTAAAGTCCGAAGGTTCATCACATTTATTGATGCTCCCGGATCAACTAACACCCTGGAGATTGTAAATTAGTGGAGATTGAAATGTACAGATTTCAATTATGGTCTGTAGTACCGAGCAACAAGTCATTGTCTGTGAAGGTAACACCGTACTGATCTCTTAACGACATGCCTCATCCAAGGATTATCAGCTAATTGGGCTAAGCAAATCTCTAGGTCAAAAAATGCCCTAACCAGAGCTTCTCTCATCTTCTTTGATAGGATCAGGGCATCGTAGATGCTTAGTTTGGTGGGAAACTTTCAAAGATGGGCAAACACGTTGTATTCCACTTTGTTACAACCAGTTTCTTCAATTCCTTCTCGAACGGGTACTTCGTTTGCTGGTGGAGTCAGTTCTCCTAGAGTAACCATCTATTTTGCATTGTCTTTTAGACCCATTCTTAGGGGTAATACTTTTTAGCTTCTTAAGTTGATCTCTGTTATCTCTTTCAAATTTTCACTGAGTCTACCGGTGTCTTCTTTTGAACTGGAACAACCAACTCTTTTGGAGTCGTCTCGGAGTCTAAGGGTTCAAATTTTCGATAGGTGGTCCCCATATATCGTAAAGAAGTACACCACTTCTGAAGTAATCATAATCGTCCTCGTCGGTACCCTCCTTCTTATCACGATCACTGAGGTTTTGTACGATTTGAGAATTATTATTAGAATTGAAATCAAGATCTGGATTAGGTTGGTTGTCATTAGTTACATTATTATTATAAACAGTCAAAACGTAGCGAACATCAGAACTCTTCTCATTGTAGTACCCCTTGGGGGAAAATAAATAATCATATGGAGTCAAAGGTTCGAGAGATGTCTCCCCTAATTCAGAAACAACCATCCAATGAAAAGCAGCCCATTGTCTATTCTTCAGATCATCAATCTTCTTTTCCTCCGTGGTCCTCTCCGTCTTCTTCTTCTGAGGTGGCTCTTCAACTGCAATCAATAGTGCTGGCTTAACAAGCTTGAACTTTGAATTGAAGCATCAACGAAGCTGTCTGAATCTGATTTAACATCTTTCTTGAGGATTTTACCCATGTTGTACTCCATCCATCATCGACTGTGTACGGGTCAATTAGAACAATAGGATTGGCCGAAATGACATTAACAGAACCTCTTTCAGGTTCTTTCATGTACTCTTTCGAGATTGTTATGTTCCCTTTCTTGAGGTTGGCCTCAAGCCAATTCTTAAATGTGAAGCCGTCCTCTATTTTATGCCCAAGCATCCTTTGGTAGGGGCAGTACAACAAATGATCTTTCTTATCCATTTCTTCTGGTTTTTTGGGCCCTGACAAAAAAATGGACCTCTTCATTAGGTTGTGGAACATCTTACCCACTGTTTCGTGTTCAAAAGGATAGAATTTACTTAGGAGCTTTGATAAGGTGCATCTTCTCTCTGTCGGATGATGCCTCTGCTGAGATGACTGTTGATCATGCTGGTGTGGTGGTTGATAAGTCGTTCTGTCTGAAGCTTCATCGGTTACTTGCCTTTATCCACCACAGCGACAGTTCCAAATTTCTTCTCAAAGGCTTTCACCGGTTTCTACTTATCACTCTTCTCCAGGAAACTGAGCTGCTTAGCCTCTTCTTGAAGACTGGCAGCCTTACTAAGCAATTTCTCAAAAGTCTTAATGGTAAAACCCTTGAGGAGAAATACTATTGGACCACAGGATTCCAATTGCATGTTGTTCCTGAAGCTACGGTTCACATTTAATACTTGAATTCTTCCATCGTAGAATATAGTCCACTAATGTCTCATCTGGTGATGTGGTGCTGAGTCCCAGCAAACCTCTTGACAAACAGGATTTCTAATTCTACGAACGTTTTCACCGAACAATTTGATAGTTCCACGCACTGGTTGAAGGCAACTCTAGAGAGGCTGCTAACAAACTGGCGGAACAACAATGCATCACTACCCCCCGTGTTGCAACAACATGCTTGGAAGTGATCAATATGCTATCAGGGGTTTACCGTCCCATCGAAAGTTTTAAATAGAGGTGGTACGAAGCCTTTAGGATATTGGATGTCATCGAATTCTTCAGGATAAGGTTTGCCCCTCAGAATCAATGCTCATCCCTTAGACTAGGGTAGGGCCTCTCACACATATTATTCAATCACCAGCTTGAGATCCTTTTATGGTATTATAATTTGGATAGAGTCCTTCTTAGGTTACCTTCCTTATTAAAGAAGGTTTTTTTTGTTTTCTTCCTTCCATGATCTGGACAACTTCTGTAGGCAGTTCCTTAGGCGGTTGAGGCTGGCTTTGAAGCATGGCTATGGTGTCCATCATCTCCTTCGTTCTCTTTTTCATGCGGTCAATCATCTCATGGCTGAAGGAGTCTTTGTAGAGCCTTCGGGTCATTTCCCTTTATGAGTGTCTGTGCCTCTCGCAATGACAATGATGCTCTGGTTTCAACCACATTTGCTTCGGCATATTCTTCCTCCATGTA